AAAATTCAAACAATACTATCCTCGGTAGCTTTGAGTAGCCCTTTGGGCCAGGTGAGCTAAAAAAACAGTCGTACCTCAAAATTTTAATACATCAGTCTAAAAACACTTCTTACTCTGACGCAAACATATATGGCATTGCTTGACTGCCATACCCTTGGGATGAACACCAAAAGAGTAGGAATTTCTTATGTGACACAAATGTGATGGCCTTACCAAGACACACACCCCGCTCCTCCTAGAAACACAGACCGCAGGAGAGTAGGGATTACTTACTGTGACACAAATGTGATGGCCTTGCCGGACCGCCCCGCCCTAGCTGTGCGCCCCACCCTATGGATGTAGTCCTTGGAGTGGGTCGGGATGTCCAGGTTTATTACCACATCCACGTGTGGGATGTCCAGACCTCTGCAAAATACAAAATACAAATCAGAATAACTGACAATTTAAGAATCAATCTCATGACGGAACTGGTTTGTATGGACAATTTAGCATCAGCTTTTAACACATGCTCAAGCAGCATGTTTGTTAAAGCAGTTTATTTTTTTTGACTTCCAAAAGTTATCGTTTCCACTTCTCTTTATGATTTGGTCTGTTTGTGCTGAACATCCTATTGACAGTTGTGGTCAGCTACTTCTAAATGGTACTAACCAACTTCAACAATTTGAAGATAAAATGTCAGACGAGGAGTGAAACATGGAAAGGGATTGTTTTTAAAAGATACGAGATGGTCTAAGTTGCGTTTGAAAAGTGACGGTAGAGGGCTGATTTGAATAATTCCGTTGTGGGGCTCAAAATAATGTCAGGTGGGAGTTTATTCCACTCGGGTATAGTTCGAGGGAAGAATGATGCCTTTCTGGTCTGGGTTTTTGAGTGGGGAATTTGATACAAAAACTGGTGGTTTGTTCGGGATTATCTAATTGTAGGGATTAATCTGTCTGATTTTACGATAGCGATACACTGGAGGTACGATGGTTGTACCTGTGCTTTTTGAGCACATAGCGCGCTGCCCTTTGCTGGACCATTTCCAACTTGTCAATATTTGTTTGGGTGTGAGGGTCCCATACTGTACAGGCATACTCAAGTGATGGTCGAACTAATGATTTGTATGCCTGTACTTTGGCTGATGTTGAGCCAATTTTAAGATTTCGTCTTAAAAAGCCTAGCGTAGAATTTGCTTTTGGGCAGATAGTATTTATATGTGAATCCCATTTAAGGTCAGATGATAGTGTTACACCCAGATACTTGACCTGACTAAGATGTTTCAGTATGTGTCCATGTAAAGTATAATTATGGACTATTGGAGTTTTGTTTTTATTCACCGACAACACATTGCATTTGTTTGGGTGGAAGATCATTTTCCATGTATTTTCCCAGAGCGCTAGTTTGTCAAGATCTTTTTGAAGTGTTTTGAAGTGTTTCAGCATCACTGTTTGACTTGATAACTAGAAATGCAATAGTGTCGTCTGCAAATAAACGGATTGTAGCATTTAGACCCACAGGGATATCATTTATAAAGTAAAGAAATAAACTGGGTCCTAAAACTGACCCCTGGGGTACCTCAGAATGGACATCGACAAAATCAGACTTCTCCCCTTCAACTACTACTGTCCGAGTTCTACCGGTCAGGAAACTCTCGATCCAGTTTGCGACATTTTAGTAGGGCAAGGTCATTTTAATAAGGAAACTTTATAGCACTCTATCCCATGTTCNCATTATGAGGATATCTGTTTGGCGTCCCTCATCAAGATTCTTTGAGATGTCATCCACGAATTCAAGAAGTTGGGTTTTCGCATGATCGCGATTTGCAAAAACCATGTTGGAACGGATACAATATGTTATGGGTATCGACATGGGTCATGATAGTTGAGACCACAATGTGTTCCATAATTTTGCTACAGATACAGGTCAGAAATATGGGCCGGTAGTTTTCTGGGTGAAATTTTGGACCCTATTTATAAGCAGGTGATACATTTGCAAATTTCCAGTCTGAAGGCACTATGCCTGTTTCCAGAGACTGATTAAATATTAGGGTTAAAATCGGGGCTATTTCTGTTGCAAGCTCTTTTAGTACTCTGGGTTTGATGTCATCAGGGCCAGAGGCCTTGTATGGATTTAGGCCTTGGAGCAGTTTTAAAACGCCCTTTTCATGTATAGAAATTTCAGGCATGGCATGGTATTTATCGTGAGTAGGCATGTTGCATCTAGTGCGAAACTGCTGGTCGGTAAAGATTTCAGGAGGAGTAAAAACAGATTGAAATTGTGCGTTTAGCACCTGGGCTTTGGTGGTAGGGTCATAAACAAGTTTACCGTCCTTTTTCAGAGGAGCTATGCCACTATGGTCTGATCTTTTGGATTTTATACATGACCCAAACAGTTTTTTGCAGGAAAATTTGTTTTCATTGGTTGTGTTTTCTGGGGTGATGATATTATCAATATGGCTCCAGTAAGATGTTCGGAGTTTTCTCTGTATATGATGTTTCAGGTTTTTATACTTATTTTTTATTTCAGTGTCTCCTGATTT